ATAATCTTTGTCAGACTCGCTCCAGACACATCTCAATTTGTTTCTGTAGAAAAACAAAAACGACGAATTCATGTAGAAACTTTTATTACGTGCAAATTGTTCAAATGTATGTTTTTTAATTACCTTTGGAATTTAGAAGTTCTTTTTAGTCGTCTCTCGCTAAAGCAATCCTTGAAAACAAAAAAAAAAGACAAGAATTAAAATAAGTTACATTATGAATAAGCTAAACAGACAAGAATCAACACAAAGTATATTTCTTTTTTAAACAATACTGTAAGCTAAAAATACTACATTCCGTTTGCTATTTACAATTTTTTCCTATGATGACGAGAACTTAAAAAGAGAGAAATGATTAAGAAAATATTTTCGTGCTGTTCCGCAGACGTAAATCAAACCGATTCCGCGACTACAACTAATATTTCTAAAGCATTTTAGAGCGTTTACATTAATTTAAGTAAAAGGAATTCTAACTCACCTCATTTTCCGTGCGCCTTCTTTTCCTCGGAGAAGTTGTTTCAGTTTCCATTTTGCGCTTTCTTTTTAAGCGCACGCTTTCCGACAAATTAAGATAATTTTCACCACGTGATTCCGTGCTGTTTGATAAGTATTCCTTAATCTCAGACATGGTCAATTAGTCTAGTGATTCAACAGCAAACTAACTTGTTACTGCGAGCGAACAGCGCAAGAGAATTCAAGCAGTGTCCTCGGCAAGCTAACCTGCCCACAACTGATCGTTTCCATGGCAATCTTGCAAACCACAACCATTTTACCGTTTGTGACGTGTTTGTGATGTCTTGCTCGGGCTGAACGTTAAAAGCGCGCGCTACCAGATTGAGGACCAGTTGGAAGCACAATGATTTCTCTATTTTTGTCATAGTTTTAGTAAGACTTCCTTAGCTTCGATAACCAGTACTAGAAGAAACAAATTTTGAATCACTATGATTCTAAACTCAGTCACCCACTCAGTGCTGAGAGAAGTGTAGTTTGCGGACTCTCTTTGTTGACTTAAAAAATCCTCAACACTCTCACGGGAAAAACCCTAGAGATCTCGAACATTGGGCATGTTAAAATTTGACGTGATATATCAAAACGAGAGATTTTATTACCATATTTATAAACACGGAGAGGAGAGTTAAAAATCCTGACGGCGCGAAAAATGCTCAAACTAGGAGAAAATCTAGACACAGAAAGCTGATAAGTGTCACAAGACAGCGCTGAACTATCAATTCCGGCTCCTGGTTGATTCCCATTATTT